ACGAGGGGTTTAGGGTTGAGGGTTTAGTGTTTGGGGTGAGGGTTTAGGGTTGAGGGTTTACGTCTTTGAGGTTAAGGGGCTCCGTCCAACCCTATCAACCCTGCTGAAGCCCTACATCCTAATGACACCCTAAACCCTAAACCGGTAAACCCTAAGCCGCTAACCCCTAAACCCCGAAACCTCTACAAACCCTAAGCCACCAAACCGCGAAGCCTCGAAACCCCTTAACCTCAAAGACCTCAACCCTAAACCCACAGCCCTAAACCCTCACACTAACCCCAAACCCTAAACCCTAAACCTTAAACCCTCTACACAGCGAGCTGGCCGAAGGTGATCCACTTGATGGTGGAGTTGCGAACCATGGTCTCCTCCATCATCGCCCGCAGCCCAGGGTTCGGGTTTAGGGTTTGGGGGTTTAGGGGGTTTAGGGTTTCTAGCAAAATCGGCTTTTCAGGGTTTTTAGGTTTTTTTTTTTTTTTTTTTTTTTTTTTTTCTGGGTTTTTAGGGTTTTAAGGTTTTTAGCCCAGTAGTACCCTTTACCCTTTTTTTGGTTCTGGTTTCCGCTATAACGTAACCAACCAAACAAGGGTGCCCTTATCATAATATGGTTACTGGGCTACTAAGGAATAAAGACTGTGAGGTTTTGTGTTGCTTACTGTTCTGTTTTGCGAAGCTGGCAAGTGAAGCTTCTCGTCGCGGGGAAGGGGGACGGAAAGGCTTGAGCAGTTGTTGGCTTGGGGTTGTTCAGGGCATTCCTGGTTTGCAGGTTAAGCCCCACACTCAAGGGGCTCCAAAGCCATGCTGCCTTAGGGAGGGTGCTGCCTGAGTTTTTGCATGCTGTCTCCATTGCACGCGTCCGCCTCCTACACGCACGAGTGTGAGGTGCGCCCCGTGGGGCAGCACACAAACCCAGAGGGTCCCTTTGAAGTACTATTATGGAATTAGGTACTCCAAATCCCTATTTTGTATGGGTTTTGGGTATCGAATTCCATAATAGGTAGTACAAATGGACCCTCTAGGAAATATTCACGCAGCACGCACCTCGAGGCATCCTGGTTAGGGAGGCCTTCGACAACCCTAGAACCAAGCGCTTCCTGAGCCCGGGGAGTTCGAAACTATTTGGGGGGGTAACCCTAAGCCCTAAACCCTAAACCCTAAACCCTAAACCCTAAACCCTAAACCCTAAACCCCGAACCCTAAACCCTAAACCCTAAACCTTAAACCCTAAACCCTAAACCCTAAACCCTGGACCGAGGCTTGCCTGCGACCCCTCATTTGGGCCACCGTCCTCTTCGGCATGCTGGTCTACGGGGTGGCGGCTTCCTGGCTCCTTTTGAGTTTTACTAGGGTTTAGGGTTTAGGGTTTAGGGTTTAGGGTTTAGGGTTTAGGGTGTAGGGTGTAGGGTGTAGGGTTTAGTTTTTCGGGTCTAGGTACCATCTGCTTGAGAACCCCCCCAAAAAGAAAATACAATCACCGCTAAACTACCCTTATAAGGAAGAACAAGTTGTTTTATTAATGCTGAGTTTTACTACTATGTTCCCCTCAGGTCCATGTACCTAAATAGGGAACACTTGGGCCTTAAAGTACTTCCTATACAAGGACTTTGGGGCCCAAGTATATATTAATAAGCTACATGGACCCGTAGGGTGCTCAAGAAGTACAAAAATCAAGAATCCCTATATTACCCGTAAAAGGAAGAACTTTTTAGTTTCTTTTGGGGGTTCTTAAGCGAATAGTAGTTTAGGGGATAGGGCTTGGGGTCCAAAATTCTTTTTGGGATTTCCAGGTTCAGAGTTTAGGATTAAGGGTTTAGGGAGTTTTAAGGGCCTTGCAGCCTTCTCACACCTGAAGCCTTGTACTCAACCCTAAGCCCTAAACCCTAAACCTTAAACTAGGCTGAAGCCAAGAGAGACCAGAATATTGCACGATTTGACCTCTTGTTTTTGAGGGTTTGGGGTTTAGGGCTTAGGGCTTAGGGTTTAGGGTTTAGGGTTAGGGGTTCAGGGCTGTAGAAGACTCGAAGACATTACAGAAACCACAGAAGCTCCTCTGCCTCCACGTGATGTCGGCCTAAACCCTAAACCCTAAACCCAGGTGACCCTCACGGAGAGTGCCAACCATTTCCGTGCCGAGAATGGGGTGGGCGTGTCGGAGGCCCTGGACTCATACTTCTCCAGCCGCTTGGACATCTTCTTAGGTTTAGGGTTTAGGGTGTAGGGTTTAGGGTTTAGGGCTTAGGGCTTAGGGCTTAGGGCTTAGGGTTTAGGGTTTAGGGTTTAGGACCTCTTCTTAGGGGAGCTTCATGGGCCCTTAGTATGGCCCCTTGCCTCCTTTAAAAGGTTCTGAAGTATGGGCCCGTATACGGCTAATGTGGGGATTCTTGTTTTTTGTAATTCTTGAGCACCCTAAGGGTCCATGCACCTGATAATTATATACTTGGGCCCCAAAGTACTGATATGGGAAGTACTCTAAGGCCAAAGTATGCATGGGCCCCTAGTATGGTCCCTTACCTCCTTTAAAAGCTTCTGAAGTATGGGCCCTTGGGTTATATTGGGTATATAGGGGGTTTAAACGGGGTCCCCTTTTTTCAGGGCCCATGCCAAGGGACCATGTAACTACCCCAAGACCTCTGTTGTTGGGCGTTGGGTTCGGGTCATTTCATCAGGGGTTACCATTTGCATGCCGCCTCGTCTTGCATTGTTGAGGCAGCTCGAGCCCGAAGCGGCAAGCTAAACGGCAACTGTTTTCCACATAGCTTCGTCTTGTGAGCTATCACACTGCCCAAAATTAGTGCTGCCTCACCCTTTCGGCGTCGTCGAGGCAGCACCCATTTTGGGTTTAACAGCAATCATTGTTATCAGTAGTGGTAGTCGATTTCAACCCCCAAAAACCCACTGTGCCTAGGCTTGGGTGTGGCTGCCATCACATTGTGGATGCTCGAACGGAAGGTTTAGGGTTTAGGGTTTAGGGTTTATTGAAATGATTAAGGGTTCAGGTCCGGGGAAAGTTTCGAGGAGCTTCTTTTTTTGGATCTTTCTTAAGTCTTAATAATTTCAAGTTACAGGGGGCTTGAGGGTTTAGGGTTTAGGGGAGGTTTAGGATTTCGGATCTAGGATTTTGGCGGGCTGAGGTTCAGGGATTAGGGTTTGGGGGGCTGATTTGGGGTTTCGGGGGTTAAGGCTCCATTTACTAGGACCCAGAGTAGGCCCTGATTCCCTTTTAGGGTTTGGGTTCCCTTACAAGCCCATTAAATGCCAAAAGAACACCCTCTTGATTTCTCGGTTCCTCCTGCGTTTAATTTGTAGGGCTCAGGCTTTGGGGTTTCGGCATGAAGGAGTAGGGTGATTAAGGCATGGGGAATGGTGCATGGGTTTAGGGTCTAGGGTTTAGGGTTTAGGTGTCTATGGAATGGGATTGAGTGTAGGGTAGGCACTACCTTACTACTATTGAGATTGCTGACTTGGGGTGTCGGGGTTTGGGCCTTCAATTCGGGTTGCCAAATCGGGGGCTTTGGGACCTTTGGGATTTGGAGTTTAGGGTTCAGGGTTTGGGATTTCAGGTTGGCGGTCTAGGGTTGGTGATGTTGCCTTAGGGTTTGGGGGTTAGGGAGCTTTATCAGGCGTCAGGGGGATAAATGTAAATTCGGGGTTTAGGCTTTTTTTTTTGTTTTTTTTTCTGGCTGGGTCCTTGGGCTTTGTAGCCCAGAGAAGTGCCAGCACGGAAGGCAAGCCAATTGAAGCCAAACCCTGTCAAACTCAAAGCCCTATGAACAGCCTACGTAGAATCCCAACCCCCAACTCCCAAACTCTTTTTTCACCTGAAGTCCTAAACCCCAAACCCAAAACCCTAAATTACCCTGAACCCTGAACCCTACACCCTGAACCCTTGACCCGAACCCAGATTTTGAGAGCCCGAACATTGAGCCCGCTGAGCCAGGAAAGTGCACCTGCAGTCCCCGAAACACTCAGTCGTACTGAGCTCCAACCTCTTCAAGAGCTCATAGGGTCTGGGCATAGGGTTTAGGGTTTGGGGTTCAGGGTTAAGGGCATAGGGCTCAGAAAAGCTGGCAAGTATGGGGAACATCAGGGCAGTTCAGGGTATTGGGGCTTGACTTTTAGGGGGCGTTTAGTCTATACCCCTGGCCACTTCATGAGGGCCCAAGAGGCCAACAAGTTGAACATCTAAACCCTGACCGCTAAACCCCAATACCCAAGCCCTAAGCCCCCCCAATGCCTCGAAATATGAACCTGACTGAACCCCTAAACCCTAAACCCCCCAAAACCCTAAACCCTAACCCTTAAACCCCAAAGCCCCACAAAGGATGTGCATCACGGGCGGTCTCGACTGGAAGCAAGTCGCTGATCCGCTGATCAACGAGCCACGGCTGACAACAGCACCGGTTTGGCGGTTAGGATTCAGGATTTAGGGTTTAGGGTTTAGGGTTTAGGGTTTAGGGTTTAGGGTTTAGGGTTTAGGGTTTAGGGGTTGAAGGTTTTTTGGGTTTGGGTTTTTTTCGGGCTTTTGATTCTCGGGGTGCGGGGCTTATAGGGCTCTCATCCTGCAGGGTTTCAGGGCTTCTCTCGGGCTCGATGGGCGGCTTCTTTTGACTCTTACGGTATAGGAGACCTTGGGGCTACGGCGGGGGTAGGGTGATCGATAGGGGATTAGGGTTCGGTCTTCGGGTGCTCTAACCGAGCGCAAGACACTTGATGGCAACAAAAACAAAGACCGTTTGAATGAGGGGCCCTCAACACAAGCGCGAGAGCGCATGTCTGCAGAAAGTGCAGAAAAAAACTGCAGTGCAATGAGGCTATGAAGAATCAAAAGATCCCCCCCCCCCTGTTGGAGATGTTCCCCTTAAACTAGCAGTCCTTAATGGATTATAGTACTCTTGGGGTATAAGGGGCTTTAACTGCCCCAAACCCTAAACCCCAAACCACACTTTAGCTCTTCGCTGGAAGGTACTAGTTTGCAACTATGTCAACCTTTTGAGGTCAGCATGTGGTATGCACAGCAGGACCTCACTGCACTGAGGCCCAAACCTTACTGGGGGGTTCCGAAACACCCCACATAGAATAGAAGCCCCTTGAAGGGTAAACCCTAAACCCTAAACCCTAAACCCTAAACCCTAAACCCTAAACCCTAAACCCTAAACCCTAAACCCTAAACCCTAAACCCTAAACCCTATTCATGGTTCGGAGCTGTGCTGGTTCCAGGATGGTGGTATCTCGAAGTCAGGACCAAGGGTATCTGAAGGGCAGGAGAAGCTAAAGCCCTGAGCCGTAAACCCTCACACCCGGAACCCTAAACCCTAAACCCTAAACCCTAAACCCTAAACCCTGAACCCTGAACCCTGAACCCTGGAACCTCGTTCGGGTGTAGCGGGTTGGCTTAGAGATCACCTTGGCTGAGGATGTTTCGCCGCTCATGGGAGCTTTCATTACCGCGTACGTGGCCTTCTCGGTCTTGGCGATGATGAACGTGATCACAGGTCGCCATGATTTCGGGGGGTCCCAAAACACTCCGACTTCAAAGTGTGTGTACACCTGTCTCTGTGTGTGTGTGTGAGGGTGAGTGTGAGGGTGAGTGTGAGTGTGAGAGTGTGAGAGTGAGTGAGTGAGTGAGTGAGTGCGTGCGTGAGTGAGTGAGTGAGTGAGTGAGTGAGTGAGTGAGTGAGTGAGTGAGTGAGTGAGTGAGTGAGTGAGTGTGTGTGTGTGTGTTTCGCCCTTTAGGGGTTTTACCGGTTAACGCTGCTTTGGAGTTCCTAAACCCACCGTGTGCAGGCATTTTCGTGGAAAATGCGGCCACCTTCTCCAAGGAAGACAAAGACCACTATGCCACCCGGCCTGGTGTAGGGCTTAGGGTTCATCATGGGGTTTGGGGTTTAAGGCTAGGGCCTACAAGGGCTTTATTGGGTTCTAGGGCTCCCATTCAGGCTTTAGGAGTTTGGGAATTTGGGGTTCGAAACCCTAAGCCGGGCCAGGGCAGGATGGGAAAGCCCGTTGCCCAGATTCAAGAACAGAAGGATTCGGACCGTTCTGCTCAAGGGTTCAGTTCATACTACCCAGACTAGGCCCTGCTTCCCTGCTCTTAGGCTTTAGGTTCCCTTCTAAGCCCCTTTTAAGCCAAAGACTCCTAGGGTTACTTAAGTTAAGGGGGTAGGAGTTTTGGGTTTAGAGGGCTTAAGGCAAAGGTGATAAACCCCTAAACCCCTAAAACCCATAAACCCCTAAACCCCTAAAACCCTTAAAACTCTAAAAAACACCCTAAAAACCCCTAAAAACCCCTAAGCCCCTAAACACACCTAAAAACTGTATAAACCTATAAACCCCTATCAACCCCTATAAACCCCTAAACCCCTATAAACCCCGATGAACCCCTATAAACCCTATAAACCCATATAAACCCCCTAATCCCCGATAAACTTCTATTAACCCCTGTAAACCCCTCTAAACCCTATAAACCCCGATAAACCCCTATAAACCCCCTAAACCCCCTAAACCCCTAAAAACCCCCGAAAAACCCCTACAAACCCCTACAAACCCCCTAAAAACCCCCTATAAACCCCTAAAGCCCCCAAACCCCCTAAACCCCCCTATAAACCCCTAAAACCCCCTAAAAACCCCCTAAAAACCCCAAAAACCCCCCTATAAACCCCCAAAAACCCCCTAAACACCCCCTTTCAACCCCTATAAACCCCTTATAAACCCGTATAAACTCCTAAAACCCCCAAAACCCCTCAAGCCGAAAGTCTGGCGAGCATGTCCCGATGCCGTCTCATTGCTCCAGCGTTGCCCCAGAAATGGCCGCGTTCTTGGCAGCCCTAAACCCTAAACCCTAAACCCTAAACCCTAAACCCTAAACCCTCAGCCTTAAACCCTAAACCCTAAACCCTAAGCCCGAAACCCTAAACCCTAAATTCAAGGTTCCCTTATGTAACCCCCCCTCCCTCTCCCCCCCCCCCCCCCTCCAAAAAAAGAAATAACAAAGGTAGCCTTGTTACAATGCGGTTTCTGGGCTACCAAGCTTTTCCCTTTGCTCAGGGCTTTTAGGCATTTAGGGTTGGGTTTTTAAGGGTTGAGGTTTAGGGCTGAAGGCTTGGGGTTTAAGGTTTATGGCCTCCGTGTTCCTAGGTTATGAAGCCTTGGGTACCTGAAGGCTTGTGGTGTAGGTAGGGCTTCGGGTTTGGGCTTCAAGCGGTTTGGGTTTTAGCTTAATGTCTGAGATTAGGGGCTTACTTGGGGCAATCTGTGAAGGTTGTGAGCCACGTGCTCAACCTCTTTCGCAAGAGCAACCTCAACGAGATGCTTGCCAGCTCCAGGGGATTGTCTTTGGGGGTACAGAAGCCCCAAGCCATTATTGGTACAAGACAAACAAGCGTCACCCTAAACCCTAAACCCTAAACCCTAAACCCTAAACCCTAAACCCTAAACCCCACTATGGAGTGTTTAGGGATACGATGGCCATGTTCAAGGATAGGGTGAGGGGGGAGGGGGGGCGAAGACCCTAAGCTCCAACATCTGCACCCTTAACCCTGAACAACAAAATAGGGGGTGAGAGGGAGAGTTGCCTAGGCCGCTGGAAGGTAGCTGGAACCCTAAGCCCGGGTTCCGGGTTTAGGCTTCAAGCTTTGTTCTGTTTCAGGGCGCAGGGTTTCAGGGTATTGTGTTCGTGGTTCGGCCCAACAACCACCCCGTGACCTTCAAATCTCTGCCAATCTGTAATTAATGTAACCCTAAACCCTAAACCCTAAACCCTAGATCCTTAGCCTTTGAGTTCGACTGGCTTGTTAACAAGGTAGCAAGAAGCCCGTTTTGCCTGGTGCCAGAGTGCAGCCAAGCAAAATAGCTCACAAGAGCCCTCAGCCCTAAACCCTAAACCCTAACCTTCAACCTGAAACAGCCCTAAACCCCAAACCCGAAACCCTAAACCCTAAACCCCAAACCCTAAACCCTAAACCCTAAACCCTAAACCCTAAACCCTAAACCCTAAACCCTAAACCCTAACGAGGAAAGACGAGCTCTCCCTAGTTGAGTTCCAGCGCATGCTGGAGACCAAAGAGCTGCGAGAGCTCTTTCAGGCACCCGGGCGCTGCGGTTTAGGGTTTAGGGTTTAGGGTTTAGGGTTTAGGGTTTAGGGTTTAGGGTTTAGGGTTTAGGGTTTAGGGTTCAGGGTTCAGGGTTCAGGCTTTAAGGTTTAGGGGAGTTTCCTGCCGCGGCAAGAGGGTGCTTTGGGAAGTTCCTCTGCTTTTTTTGGGGCCAGCTTTCCTGTCTGAACCCCTGAGACGCATCAGGCGGTGGATGTGGACGTCAACGATGCAGAAAGCCTGTTCAGGCGTGGCTGAGCGCTATCCCAAACCCGAACGCCCCAAGACTATCAGGGTTTAGGGTTTAGGGTTAGGGGTTTAGGGTTTAAGGTTTAGGGTTTAGGGTTTAGGGTTTAGGGTTTAGGGTTTATAGGGTTAGGGTTTTAGGGTTCAACCCTTCCCCCACAGCCGGTAAAGTCCCTCAGCCATAACACTCCAAACTCTGGGACCCCCGGAACTTAAGAACCCCCAAAAGCATGAAAGATGATAATCCCTTGTTCCCCTTTATAAGAATATGTTTGTCCCTTTGGGGGTTCTTAAGCAACTAGTAGTAAAGCGGATAACACCAGCCGGAATCCCGATTTTGGCAGAAGTGTTGGGCTCTGGGCTCGGCACTTCAACCCTAAACCATACACCGGGGTTTAGGATTTAAGGTTTAGGGTTCGCCATAAAGCAAAAACAACGTTAACAACCAGGGGTTTAGGGTTCAGGGTTTAGGATTTAAGGTTTTCCGTTCGCCAAAGACCACGTATAAGCCCCTACCAACCAAGCCTGGGTGTTTACGTAGCTTGGGCGTCTTCACTCGCACCAGGATAGGTGTGAACGCGCTGCTGCGCTGTTGGGAGGATCACTTGCCCAAAGCCGAAACCGCAAAGCCCCTAAAGCCCTAAATGCCCAAACCCTTCGGGCCTCAAACCCTTAACCCTAAACCCCTAAAAACCCTAAATCTTGAAGCCCGAAAATGCCCTGAGAGCCGAACAATCCCCAGTTGTGCGATTTCGGGTACGGGGGTGTAGGGATTGGGGTTTAGGATTTAGGGTGTAGGGTGTTTAGGGTTTAAGGTTTGGGGTTTAGGGTTTAGGGCTTGATGGATGGCAGGCTCCTGGACATTGACGAGACGGGCACACTGTCACCACAGGACTCAGACGTTGCGTGTTGCTTCTTTTGGTGGACAAACAAGCTTGGGGTTTGGCTTGTTTGAGGAGGGGCCTTATTTGAACCATTAACCCTAAACCCTAAAGCCTAAGCCCTAAACCCTAAATCTTACACAGTACAGATGTCCCTTGATTAGCATTTACTTGGTAGCCTAGTGGCACAATTTACACCGTTTTTTGGTTTAAGGTTCCCTTGTAGGGTTTCGGGTTTAGGGCTTAGGGGTACCGTAAAACCCTAAAGCCCAAACTTGTAACTAAAGCTGCAAACCCTACACCCTAAGCCCTAAACCCTAAACCCCTACCCCTAAACACTAAACCCAACAACCATCAAACTCTACCGCCCAAAGCTGCAGGAACTGGTCGATGGCTGGATTCGCCTCCGTGGGCCAGCAAAGGCGGGTTGAGTTCGAAGGCCTCATAAAATTATTGATAGACGGTGTATGTACATGTACATGTAATATAATATAATATAATATAATAGAATATAATACAATATAATATAATATAATATGTTGGTATATATATATATATATAGATACAAATATATAAATAAATAAATAAATATATATATATATATATATATATATGCATTTTAGAACATTGGCCCGGCATTTTGGCTGCGGAATCTTCGACATATGTCACCCGCAATCGAACGAGCAATAATTTGCAATCTCCATCCCGGCCAATAACCTACCATTCAGAATGTGAGTATTTCTATTTATATTTACTACAAGCAGTTGCAATATATACATATACATATCTATATATACGTATATGTATATACACACAAACTACATATATATATATATATATGTATATCTGTGTATATGTCATACTCGTTTACATGTGCGTGTATGTCTTTAACTATATGCTTGTACTTGTTTATGTCTCGGGGCCCCAGGTAGGGCTTCGGGCTTGACGGGTCTACGTTTTCGGGCTTTGGCGGTTCGGTTTTAATTTGGGTTTGAGGTTGGGCTTCGCGGGCTGCAGGATTGAGAACCCCGGGGCTTAGGGTTTAGGGTTTAGGGTTTGGGGTTTAGGGTTTAGGGTTTAGGGTTTAAGGCTTGAATTTGAAAGTCGATCGTGAACATGGGTGCTGCATACAGGTGATTCTCCAAGCGGCTTCATGCACATTCTGCAGGGCTTCTGACCGGTTTCACGGAACTTCTCCCCTTTCGTTTAGATACGTCCCCTTACACAACAGTCTCGAACCTCGATTTCACTAAGACTCCAGTTGCAATGACCTGTTGCGGCAGTTGAGGTTCGAGGTTCTGTCAGCACTCGGATTTTTCTTTCAGTGGCCTTACCGCTTGAATAGGAGCATGATGCCCAGTGGCCAGTTTTGTAGGGATGAGGGTTCCCTTACTCAGCCCCTGTCACCCCTTTAGTTCCTGGCTTACTCTCGGGTCTGAGGTGCTTAAAACCCCCCCCCCCCCCCCACCCACCCACCCCCGCACCACAAAAGCCACATGTGCAAGCCACAGGCTCGAGCCGCGGAGCCCCCTCTGAAGCCTAAAAAAAGGGTAAATTACCCTAAACCCTAAACCCTAAACCCTAAACCCTAAACCCTAAACCCTAAACCCTCGGCGGGATTCCCGCTCAACTCCTTGAGGCCCTGGACCTGGCTGTGCTCATGTCCGACAACAACCGCATGGATGCCAAGGTCGACTGGATTTGTGCCTTGGCAGAGGGGTTTAGGGTTTAGGGTTTAGGGTTTAGGGTTTAGGGTTTAGGGTTTAGGTTTTCAGGCTTAGGGCTTCTAAACCCTCTTCGCGCCACCTCCTCGCTTTAGTAAGCAATTCGGAACTCGCATCCTTTTGTTCTTTATAAAAAGGGACCCTTCTTGTCGGCCCCAGGATTCTTCGATAATAAAGACCCCAATAAGGTACCACTATTTGCCGAAACACCCATATATATATATATATATATATATATATATATACATATATGTGTATATACATATATGCACAAAACGCGGGGACCGTGGGAGTGCACTTTTTTGGTGATTATATATATATATATATATATGTATATTTATAGTTATAGTTATATTATATCTATATTTATATTTTTTATTTATATGTAATTTTGTTTTTTTTACAGTCGCTTTTATATTCAAATGTAGAGTTATATCTATATTTATACTTCTATGTATGTTTATATGAAATTTATATGTATATTCATATGTATATGTATATTCATATTTATATGTATATGTATATTCATATTCACATTCATATTCATATTTATTTTGGTAGTTGTTTTTTTTATCGGGGATCTGAGGTACCAGGTACCTTCACGAATTCCCTACTAAGAACGAAGCCTCGGAAGCCCTAAAGCCCAAGATCCCTGTGCGTCGAAAACTCCCCAGAGGGTTTAGGGTTTAGGGTTTCGGGTTTAGGGTTTAGGGTTTAGGGGTTTCGGGTAAAGTTTTGGGTTTAGGGTTTAGGGCTAGGGTTTAGGGGCTTGCGACCTGAAGTTGCCAAGGTGAGTTGGTGAGCAACATGGGCTGCAACGGCTTGGAAAGCAGCGCGACGGTGGGCGGCCAGAAGCCTCGCCGGCAGCCTCTTTCCTCAAGTACCAGGGCTTTCCCGGCTTTTACGGGGTTTAGGGTTTAGGGTTTAGGGTTTAGGGTTTAGGGTTTAGGGTTTAGGGTTTAGGGTTTAGGGTTTAGGGTTTAGGGTTTAGGGTTTAGGGTTTAGGGTTTAGGGTTTAGGGTTTAGGGTTTAGGGTTTAGGGTTTAGGGTTTAGGGTTTAGGGTTTAGGGTTTAGGGTTTAGGGTTTAGGGTTTAGGGTTTAGGGTTTAGGGTTTAGGGTTTGGGTTAAGTTGGTATCAGGTTCCCGGCTTTAGTAGGGCTGCGGGAATTCGGGACTTTCAGCGTTCGCTCTTCAGGGTTTGGGGCTTTCGGGAGTTTAGGGTTTTGGGTCCGAGGGTGGAGGTTGCCCCCTGAGGGTTGAAGGTTCAGGGGCTTTAGGGATGAAGGGGTCAGGGCTTGGGTTCAAGGGGCTTCAAGCTTTCAGCCAAACGGGGCCCCGAAATGTAATGTGGCGAAGGTGGGGCCGGAGAGCGTGCGGGTCAAGGTCTTGTGTTGGTATCCGAGGGTGCCCGAATGAGAGATTGGGGCTTATAGGCCTTAGGTTTAGGGTTTAGGGTTTAGGGTTTAGGGTTTAGGGTTTAGGGTTTAGGGTTTAGGGTTTAGGGGTTTTCCTGAGATTGGACATGTGGCTGAAGGAAGGATCCTCATGTTGCCCTCTTGAT